TGGACCTTCCTTTTTGCCTCTACTATGGTACCATACCTTTTTTTTTTTTTTTTTTTTTTTTTTTTTTTTTTTGACATGCTTGTCACATGCCCAGTTCATCCCAGGCTAAACCATAAAATACATTTTTTTCCCTCTACTACTCAATTTAGGCAGTTCAAACTCTCCAAATGATTTAATTACCACATAGGTCCATCACTTTTAACTCACTCCTTCCCATTACTTCTTTTCCTTTGTTCTTGAATTTTTCCCCCCATTTACCCCATTTTTTCCCCATTTTTGACCCATTTGACTCTTCTGAGCAAAGGGGAAAAGAAAACAATGCAGTGTTGACAAGCTTTGTCCTCATGGCAAAACTTAAAAAAAGAACATCACTCTCCTCTCCTCTTACATATGAAAGCATTAGGACTTTGGGTTTCAAGGTGCTTAAAAATGTCCTCACATCCCCTTTAAATCCAGACAAGTCTCCACTTATTTTCCTTGTTTTTTCTGTCCTTCTTCGTGTGTGTGTGTGTGTGTGTGTGTGTGTGTGTGCGCGCGTGTGCGTGTGTGTGCGCGCGTGCGCGAGAGAGAGAGAGAAAGAGAGAGAGAGAGAGAGAGGGGTGTTTTAAGGCACCTTCTGCTGGGTTTGCTTTTATTCTTCATTATTTGTCTGTGGCTGCAAGTTGCTTGGGATTTATCATAAAAAGGAAGAAAGTTTTAATAAAATTTATTTTCAAGAATTTTGCGAGATTTATGAGGGAGGTAAATATAATTAACCACTATTTCTAGAAAAAAAAAAAAAAAAAACATAATGCAGGTTCCAAGAGTCCAGCAGACAAATGAACAGGACCCATGTGAAAGCCAAGAGTTGTCTTCTTTGCCTTGCTGGGCAGTAGTGTCTCCAAGAAGTTATATAGGGATGCAGGACAAGGATATACATCTACTGAGGCAGCAAAGGGAGTCTCAGTATCCTATTCAACTTTACTTTGTATAGTGCTGAAGACTTCCTTTATTTTAGAGTTTATGATTTTGAAAGTCAGAAGTACTTTGAGAATGGACTGAGGTATAGAACCAAAAGCCGGGGGAACATTAATAGAGAGTATGCATAGGGTAATAAAATTTAAATTTTGGACTTGTTTTTACAGCTTTTTGAAGAGTCTCTATTCCACCCCCAACCCACCCCCAGGCATAAAAGAAAAGTCTGTTCTCTTCTAAAAGTCAATACGTGTCTTTCGTGGGTAAAGGGTCTAACTAATAAGCCTTAGATTCAGACAAAATTAAGTAGAACCTAGAACTTGTGTAGATGCAGATTCACTGGTTTTCCTACCCAGAGAATCTGATTATGTGCTGAAGTAAAGACAAAATTCCTACTGGCACCCAAGAAATAAAGACAGAAGATTTTTTTTTCTGTCAAAGCCATTATTGACTTTGGGCTAGGTCATTCATTATTGTGGTAATGTGCTATCTGATGCCCTGTGGGGTGCTGAGCAGTATCTGAATCCCTGGCCTCTGCTCACCAGATGTTGGGAGCACACACTATCACATCAGGACCACCTAACATGTCTCCAGATATAGTGAAATATCTCCCTGGGGGTGAAAGCATCTCCCTGGTTGAGACCAATGACAGAAGCTGTCCAAAGATAACACATTTTGAGAAATACAGTCTGTAAAAGAGATAAAACAACATGACAAAAGTAGAGAACTTCAGATACGTACAAGCTTACATTATATAAATTGAAATAAACAGGCTTCCTCCAAAGGAGATCTGATTAACTTCATGTTCTCCCGACAACTCAGCTAAGCATCTGAGTCGGAGCTCTTCTTATGCAGCTTCAATTTGAAGAGCCTCTCCCTCGCTTCTATTTTAGATTATTTTTAATTAACTTCACTGGCATTTTGCATCCTGCTATGAAAAGTCCGCCTAATAGTCTCAGAGGACTCTCCCTAGAGAGAAGAGTACATTAAATCACACATTATCACATTAAAGTATATACCAGCACTGAGTCCAATGGTCTACATCTTGGCAAGTGCGGTAGGGTGGGGGCTGGGATGGAAACAGGCTCAAGTGATTCACAATATCCAGAGCCTATTAACTTCTGTACATCTGACCCATGTGAAAAGGTTGTATCGATTCTCCACTTCCACCACATTTATCACAGTGGCATACATTTTACAATGTATGCTCCACCTCATTTCCTATTAATCCCTGTATGTGGGACAACCGCTATATGGAGCAAGCCCCATAAATTCTTTGGGAAGCCTTTTCCTCATCTAAAAGCAAACAGATTGGGATAAATTATTTCTAAAGATGTTGCTATGCATAAATCACAAACTTATGAATGAAGCACTTTAAATTAAAAGGCTCTTTCAATTCCAATACTCATGATAACAGAAAGAGCATTTAAATGCTTAAACAGAAAACAAAATGACAATGAAAGGAATCATATATACAAACCCATTATCTTAAAACAACAAGTGTGGCCCAAATTGCCTTTCACCTACCACCGCATTTAGACAGGAATTTTGCATGGGAACACAACTCAATATTTCAGAAGTTAGTCATAAACAGGAAAATGATTTTGAAACAGACTAACTTTCTGTTTTCAAAAGCAGGGACAAAAGCAGAGGCCACATCCAGTCTCCAAGTATGGCTGTTACTTTGTCACAAACAAACAAACAAAAGCACTCAATTAGTTCCTATACAATGATGAAACAATACACATAAGCCTCTAGATTTCCAGTAACCCTCGGGACATCAGAAGACAGGAACCCAGATAGCTAGAACTAAGCATAGTCCACAAGTTCTCCTGGTCTCCGAAACCCACCGACACCTCCCTTGCCATCTGTCTGGTTGCCACTTACAGCCTGCAGCATGCAAGCTCCTTACTCTGTAACACCTTTCAGAACATACTAGAAAGAGTTTTGATATCTATAAGGCTTTCAAAACCATGAGAAAGCTCACAGTAGCACAGCATAAAGGTAAACATTTGGAGCTGTTCTCTCAGTAGAGAAAAGTCTTTCTAGCTCAATGAAAAGTGCAGTGTGCTACTCTTATAAATTTTCAAACAACACCATCTTAAAAGACCTAAAACTAATTCCAAAGTTTGATTAGGAGGTTCAACACAGATAAGAGGCCCTAAAATCACTTCCAATTTTGAAGAGCTATTCCTGGGGTTAACTTAGTGGATAGTTCATTGCAACACACTAATTATGATGATACATATATGACTACCACGTACATATAATGTTTATGTGTAACTCCACAGAAGACTTGCTGGTATTTTCTTTTTCTACAAAATTACCTTCTGTGTATGTCCCTAAAGCATTTTATTTTTCTCACTAAATTTAAGATACAGAATTTTAAAACTAAGCTTCAATTAACCAAACAACTTCCTACTACGCTTAGACACTCTGTTTTGTTCTTCGGAACGGATAATAAAGGATGACAAGGGAAGAAGGTAGGAAAATTTGGGAAGATTAATTTTCAGTTACAAGAAGACTGATTTTCCATAAAGAGAATATGCATGTTGTACATAGCCAGCATTGAATCTTAGGCCCTTGCAGATGCCCTGCTTCTTGTACTCAGATCATGTGACACCAAGCAGTTTGTATGGCACAGGTGTACTAGGTATCACAGCAAGTTTTTCTAGCTGATTTTACAAATCCATAGTGTTAACATGGGAAAATGTGCATATTAACTATTTCCAAATCAAATTGTTTTCCTCGGGTGTTTCATGTTGATGTTTGGCATAAGCGTTGTTTAATAGTAGTGATTAATGGCTCAAGTGGGTGTAGAAACAGCCTGTCAGTGAGGCAGTATGATTACCCAGGGCACCAAAATGATTGTGTTGACAATACAATGTGTGTAAAATGGGTTGCTTCTGAGAAAACATTTGTTTACCAATTTTAGTTGCCCCCCCCAAAAGCTGATCATTTGAATTCTTTCTGTTTAGGAAAAGAAATGGGTCACTCCTCTAAAACAAAATGGTAAACATAACTCAATTTAAGAGCCCCAAATGCCAGAACACTTCAATTTAAGCACTGATGTTTTCTGCTTTTATCTACTGTGGCTAGAACAGCAACTTCTTTCCCACTTTATTTTTTTCTGAAAAAACAAAACAAAAAACAAACAAACAAACAAAAACCGCTTAACACACTAAATATTGGAGTCCTGGGGGAGGGGCAAATTGTAGATATGCTTAAAATCAAGAGTATACAGTGGTTTTGGAGACCCGGGAAGTTATCTGGTGCGTGCCAGTCAGAACTCTCTTCATCTGAATTGTCCTTACAGGAAAAGCTAAGAGAACTGTAAGGCTGGTTCTGCCACCAGGAAACAACTTAAGTATATAACCTTCAAAGGTGACACAGTCAAAGTTTTAAAATGTTCCCCAGAAGCAAAAGTATTGTTTTCCCTTTGGAAAAACACAAAAGAGCTCATTCATTCTTGGAACACGATTCATTCAAAACATGTTTATTTCAAAACAAAAGTTATTGAAAGCATATGCAGAAGCCATTCCAAAAGCAAGTGGTCCCAGAAACCCAGATGGTTAACCTGATGGCAGAGTAGCCCACAAGAACCAGAAAGATGAAAAGAGTCTATGCTTGCTCAGAGAGCAGGAACAAACTCTCCTGAGAAAAGGACATAAGACCTTAAAAGAACTAGACAAGGGTTCGAGACTTCAGCTTATTCATCCCACCCCAGCCCACCAATCCCGACCCCCAGATGCAGACCAAGAACTGCATAGGCAAAAGGTAGAAGCCATCTAGCCTTCTTGTTTCTCACAAGGAAGGGGGAGTGAAGGGACCAGGGACCCCGCCCTCTTATCCGGTTGTTGATCTGGGGCAGGGATCCTTGGTTGGGCAAACTCGTTTAAGTAACATGAAGTGTGCAAAAGTTCACAGGTACGAGGCTGGACCCCTTCCTCAGAGCACCAGCACTACAACCCCCCCCACACACACACACCCGTAGGTGTGCTAGCAACCACAACCCAGACGCTTGCAATTTGCACGCGCACACTCACCAAGGGCCGGGGAGCCCAGCCGGCCGCCGCCCGCCTCGGCCGCGCACTGCTGCCCCGCGGGCCCGGGAACTAGGGCTTCGCTCGCTCCGGACATGGGCTGTGCTCCCTCCGAGCCCGCTCCGCGCCGCCGCCGCCAGCAGCCGCCTGCGGGGCGCACCGACCCCGGCTGCTTAGGTGTTGGGTGCAGGAAACTGACTGCTTCTGGCGGGAAAAGCAAAAGGGGCAGCAGGGCGAACTGTTTTCATGAAGAGAGCAACACGCTGCTGTGGCGGGCCATTCCCTCCCCCTCCGTGTCCCTCCTCCAACTCCACCCCGGGGAAGTTAGGATTTGAAAGCAGCTAAGGGGACGGAGCGAGCGGGACACGCTGGGCGGGAGGGCACCCGTCTGGGCTTTGGAGGCAGAGAGACTCGAGGGGTGGGAACCCGAAACCCCTCCCCCACGCGCAACTTCCACCTACCTCGGCATCACCCCCTGAGGCTGATCTGAACCCCTTCTTCCCGCCACTGGGAGTCAGCAAGGCTCGGAGAGCGGCCCCATCGCGTCCGGGCTGCCTGACCACGTCCCGTCCCGTCGCCCGGGTTCAGGCCAGACGTCGCAGTGGCCGCGACAGTGGCAGCCGCCGCCTGCGCTGACTCTGTGCACTCCGCCTCCTCCCTCCAGCCAGCTCACTCGGGCCAGCCCCGCTCTGGGAGGACTTTAGGATACACTTGTGTGTCTCTTTCACCCTCAAGCTGCCACTCCTACACTCTTCAAACACTTCTCTCTCTGTGACTCCCTTTCATCATATCCGGATTGGGGTGGCCTCGAACTCTTGGCAGACAGCCCCACGGCTGGGGGCGGCTCGACCTGGGTTTGGCTCTGCTCTCCTTTGTGGAGGGAGCTGTCTGGGTCAGGAGGCCAGAGCTGGACAGGCCTGGTGCAGGATCTTCACTCCAGACCCATAGTGGTTTAGGAAAACAGGGAGGGAACTAGCCTTGGCAATCCTGAAGTCTCCAGACAATGCTGGGAAAGTTCCCCCAATTCCATTTTCAATCCTGCCCACCAAAGAACTATTAAATCTAGAGGAATGACCCAGGGAAACAACCTTTGAAACCAAGGTTTTGTGTTTGTGTGTGTATGTGTGTGTACACGTGTGAGTGTGTGTGTGCATGAGTGTGTATATGTGTGAGAGTGTTGTACACGCGTGTGTGTGTTTGTATGTGAGTGTGTGTGTGTGTGTGTGTGTGTGTACTTGCACACACTGACTTTCTGACTTCCCAGGTAATATGAAAACCTATGTATTTACAACCTTGTTCCCAGGTTCTTGTTTAATCTCTTCATCTTCACTTTATTTTTGGCTTCTTCTGTCAAACAGGATTCCTGATCCTGTAAAACCAGTTGCACTCACTCACACACACACACACACACACACACACACACACACACACACACACACAGCTGCTGACAGCACCCAGGAGAGCAAGGTTAACATACTTGAGGACATCTGCCCTACTACAGGCTGAATGACTCCATGGTCCAGAGTCCTCCGAAAAGCTAAACTGTGGTCACCAGTAAAGAGCTCATCAGCTGTGGACTTATAAATGAAATGTTCTGACTGCAGCAGACTCACTTGGGCCAAGAACAAGGATAATTGGGTATAAAATAATATAGTCTATCTGACTAAGTTTTGCATTTTCACTGAGTGAACTGCAGAATTCAGTTAAGGAACTCTGAGAAGAGCATACCTATGGATGGACTATTAGGGCAAGAGCAGTCCCCAGTGTTACCCAAACTGAAGAAACTTAGTGGACTCACCTCTCTAGCCCTGTCATTACTAATACATCAGGAATGTTGTCGGCAAAATGTGACCATTCAAGGTCTTTTCAAGGGGCTCAAAATATCCATTTCTCTCCTGGAAAGAACCAGTGTGTTCAAACTTGAATTCAATTACCCTGAGAAATCAGCCTCCAAAGGTTCTGGAGATAGATATTTGGATTATGCTTCAAGAAAGATAAATGACATTTTACTCAATGACCTATAGCTAATAGGTATGCCCCCACACACTTAATTCAATTTGGAGATTCATAGATGGCACTGTAAAAGGTGCCTTAACTCTCTTGAGAGTGTGTCAAGGGTCTAGACTATGTGGAATATGTTTGTTGGGAGCAGGTCAGTTGTGAGGAAGAGAACACAGGCATTAGAGAAAACACAGGAAACTTGTACGCTTCACAGAATAATCTTTCCTTACAGGAGTTAGTAGGAAAGTTCCAGAAAGTTTTTCTTTGTTCCCTTACTGTTTATCTCTTCTTGTTCAGTTTTGGGGAAGTTACAGCGTTATAATGAATTTTGCATGTGTCTTTGGCTGAACAAGTGTGTGTGTTGTGGTACCTGTGTGGAGGTCAGGGGATGACCTTACCTTCCACCTTTTTTGAAACAGGATGTCTTGTTCCTGGCAGCATACACCAGGGTAGCTGACTCTTAAACTCCCAGTTAGTTTCATGTCTCTAACAGCCTTCTTCCTTCAGAATATCGGAATAACAGGCTATACATCTAGCTCTCCATACTCAACCCTTCACACTTGCACACAAGCCATTCTCCACCGTCTCCACAATAAGTATTTGTTTGTTGAAGTGCACATTGTATTTCCTTTTTACACATGGCAGATCAAAACCTAACTTTCCTGAGAAGATGAGGATTTGGAAACTTAACCCCACCTTTACCACTCCTTGCATTACGTATAAGCAGCTTACTCTAGTAGAGAAGAAATAAAATTCAAACAAAAATAAAAGGAACAAATGGAAGACTGTTGTAGTGTTACCAAGTTGACACTAGGTCTTGCGTGACTTTGAGTATGTCAGTCGTATACTCTGGGCTTTGGTTGCCTCATACAGGGAGAAAAATAAGAGAAAGCCTTTTAAGTTTCTCCATGAAGACTCGATAAGGTTATATTATACCCCTATCACAGTTGGAAATCTGCCAGGTATGTGGCAAATGCTTAATATTACTAACTATTGTTATCGCATAAAAGAGTAGAGTAATGAGTAACAGAGCATGAGGTAAGGGAGAGGATGGAGAAAGACTGGCCAATGGGCATAGGAATGCACCTGGACAGGGATAATAACTTCAAAAGCGGTATATATATCATGCTAAAGCAAATAGGCTTGACAACAATTACTTGTATACTTAAACTAGCACATACAGAGGGTTTTCCAAGTTAAAAGAATGATAAATGCTCGACTACTATGCATTAATAAAGAATAAACATTTTCAGTACTAACACACCTCTGTGATGCAGCAGATACATTTATTTTCCTGATAAAATAGAGCATGGGGTATTGACTGTCACCAGGATCACAGCAAAATAATGGGTAATAGGCTGAGGTTCCGTCAGTGAGTTCAGTCACCAGAATTCATGTTAAAAAGCCAGGCATGTTGGCATGCACTTGTAATCCCAGTGCTATGGGAAAGGGAGGCCAGGCAGCAGAGCCTAATTACAGGAGATCCAGGCTAGTAAGAGACCCTGGCTCAAAACCAGGGGTAAAGCTGGCAGACGGGGCTTCTGGATTCAGTTTTGCATGCACGTACACACTCAAGGCAATTATGTCATGTACTTTACACAGGTTGTATCAATGAATTCTTATACTGGGCCTTGCTGGGGTTCAAGCTCAGGTTTGTGAACCCTGGGCTTCTCTCTGGGCCTCATGCCATGAAGCCAGTGCTTGCAATGTCAGGAGTTAAGCGTGTGTTCCTGAGAATTCCCCAAGCTTTGCACTCCTCTCTTCTAGTTTCATGAGCTTGTTCGGACCTCATTGCTTGGCTCCTGGTGAGCAACCACGTGCCCACATCTCCTTCTCTCTTTCCATGTTATAGGGTGCTTATGTTTCCCTTCCAGTTTATGTGTTGAAATCCTAATCCCCAGTGTGACAGTATTAGCAGAAGTAATTAGGTCATGATGTTAGTGGCCTTATAAAATGACATTTTCTGATGCCTTCATGATTAGCATTCAACCAAAGAAACTGGGGAGAGCACAAACATTCAGACCAGAGCATGGGCTCACACTATGGAAATTATAATTTTAACACATTTGTCTGTTTGGGGGAGTAGGTGGTGGGTGTGCATTAGCAAGTCAGAAAAGCAGGGTGGAAGTCAGAGACCTCCTTCCACCATGTGGGGCTACAGAATGAAATTTGGGTGTCAGGCTTCGTGGCAAGTCATTTGGCTTCTGAGCCTCCTCACTGGCATTAAATTGTCAAAACCACCAAGGAATGCTGTATATAGTAATTGGGACCCTCAATTATGAGATCAGAAATCATTCCAGTGATAAGAATGAAGCCAAAGAACCAAAGGTAAGAGGAATAAAGGTTTCTGTGTCTAAGGGGCAGTAAGCAATGCAACACCTACACCGATGAAACCATTCCAGGGAAGCAGACACAGGACCTACAAGGCAGCCAGGGAGAACCTCACAGCAGCCTGCTGGGTGTGCATCTAGAATACCAGTACATAGCTGTTGCTTTGCTAGCTGGGTGATACAAGAGTGCCCACAGTCAGTATGCGCCCACAGTCAGAATGCAGACTCATACCAGAGGCCTACATAGCTATGCTCTCAAGTCAAATGTGTCCCTCCTGGCTTGTCTGTTCCTCCACCCACTTCATATTTCCTGGCTTAGAAAATCCCAGGTAGCTGGGCATCACTGATACCAGTATTCCACTTGCCATTCTAAGTATCTCTGGTTGATCCGTATGCCTGAGTTTTTCCATGTTGTAGCACACAGTAATTTAAACAGTGGGTAGAAACATTCTGTGGAGGCCAGCCTTCCAGTAGAACTGAACTCCTCAATCCTAGATCAAAGCCCAATGCCATAGACATCCCAAACTTCCCTGTGACCATTCTTCATGAGTAACACAAAAATCTAGTGATATATGTACACATGTGAAAAATGTATTCTTGAGTTAGGATGATGACATTGTGAAGCATCCTATGGACTACTTAATTCTCATTATTTATTCATTATGTATTCATGAGGCATTTCTCAAGCACCTAGGTTTATATATTAGGCTCTGAAAATAACTTTGATGTTTGAAAATCATCTTTTGTCTGCACAGAATTTTATATGTCCACCTAACATCAAAATTAACATCCTCACATAGATATCTAAACCAGAGTTCCATAAATAGAGTGCAATACAAGCAGAAAATATTAAAGTGAGCATGTATACTTGTTTTCACATAATCCTATATTTAGTATTATTGGGTACTATAATATTTTATCCATTGCTTTTAAAAACAAGTGAATGTGGTCCAGTGAGAAGGCTCAGCAGGTAAAAGCATCAATCAGGTAGGTTTTTTATTTTTTCTTTAAAGAATATACATAACAGGTTTATGTTGAGCCATGACTTTAGAAACTTTCAAACTCAAAAACATAGGAGCTAGAAATGAAACCCAACACTTTACCCAGCTTTTACAAAATACCAGCACGAGCCACATACACTCTCGAGTTGTATTTGTTCTTTGGTGAGGACAGGACAACTAAACACACTATTTTCTACCATTCTCACTCATCGTGTCTTGGAAGAGGAAAACAGGGTACAGGGGGCTTTGAGGAGGAGGCAGAAGCTAGGGGAGCTATTAGGTCAGTAAAATGACAGCCAGA